TTAATTCATTATATTCTCATGTTTGTGAGTTGCTTGATGAATGTGAATGGTGGAATTTTACTGAGTTGAATGCTTGCTTTAGTAGTGAGGAGTGTGGGGAAATCCTTAAAATACTTATTGGGGCTTGCTTTGATTCTATAGTGTGGCATTTTGATAAACATGACAAATTTTCTGTTAGAAGTTCTTATTTTATTGCACATAATATTGTTCATGGATCTAGTACGGATGATGATAATATGCTCCTTTCTTCTATTGAGTGGAAACATTTGTGGAAATTGAAAGTGACTCGTAAGGCTAGAGTATTTTTGTGGGGGTCATACTTAACTCATTGCCTGCTTTGAATAATTTGGTGAAAATGGGGCTTTTACAGGAGGCTTTACGTCCTAATTGTTATATGGTTGATGAAAGTTTAATGTATTTATTATTATATTGCCCTCATGTTGAACCAATTTGGTTTGGTTCAGCCTTGGGTCTTGACCCTTGACCCTTGGCAGCCAAGGGTGGCTAGTTTTGTTGAATAGTGGAGATATATCAATGGTTTTGCTAAACAAATGGGTATTCCTTTTCTGGTGGAACATTGTGCAATTATTTGTTGGCATATGTGAAAGGTAAGAAATGAAAAATGTTTTGAACATGCTGAAATTAATCCTCACCAACTTCTTACTCGTATCTATTTTATGATCCAAGAGTAATCTTTATCCATGGGTAAGGATTTGTTGGCTTCCCCTTCTAGGTCGTGGGCAAGTGGCAAACAGATTTAATCTTCTTGGTTCAGTCCTCCACCAGGTGCCCTTAAAGTCAATGTGGATGCTTCTTTTATGCCTAACTTAGGTTCTATCTGTTGCTTTGGTTATAGTTGGACGCAACTCTAATGGTGAAGTTTGTTTTCAAAAGACTTGGTTCAGTATGACTATATCTCCACTTATGACTGAGGTAGTTGCTTTACTTAAAGTTGTTCAATTTTTGGGAGACATGGGAGTTCACAATGTGGTTTTTGAGTCTGATAATCAAGAATTATTTTCAAGTATTCAACGACCTAACAAACCTCTTTCATGTGAGGTTAAATCTATTATTATTAGTAGTAGATAGCTTTATAGTTTTGATCTTGAATTTTTGTACTCTTTTGTTTTATGGGAAAGAAATCAAATTGTGAATTAGGTAACTCGTTCATCTTTTTAGAGGTAATGTCTTTCGTATTGAACACATAGGCCTCTTAATATTTTGTTTTCTTTGTTAATTTATGATTATTTGTATACTTTATGTAAATTGTACTTAAATATTGTATAAAAATTTTAATTTCTCAAAAAAAAAAAATCATATTTTAAGTATTATACTTTTTTCTGAAACCTCTCCTTTATGCAGCCTACAGATTCTCTAGAGCTAACATGTTTGTTTCGGAATAAACCCAACAAGGCATGTGAGTGGCATGATTATGGTTCCACACAAAATTTTAAATATTTTCTTTTAAAATATTAATTTAATTATTAAAAATAATTAATTACTATACTGATTAATTAATTAATATCAGAATAATAAATATTTATTATTTAAAATTAATTTATACATTATAGTTTAAATATTATAATTATTAACTATTTATAAAATAAATAAATAAATAAATAAAATTCACATGGCCCTAACACTTTTAGCATATGGACTTACAACCAAATACCAATGCATTAGAATCATTTATGGACAACCTTAAACAAATGCTTCTTCGTATAATAATCAACTAATCCTCGATCAGAATTCAGAGTTGTCATGATCTGTCAAGCTGAATTTAACATTACTTTAAATTTTTTTTTTTTTTTGTTAATTTCTCTTGATACACTGCCACTGGTGAATTAGAGGGTGTCTGATTTGATTAATTTTATTAATTAATTGTATAATTTTTTAAAATTATAAAAAAATATTTTGATAATTAAAATATTAATTTTTAAATTTTTTTAAATATTTTAAATAAATTAATATATAAAAATATTTATTAAATATATTTAAATAATTTAATAAAAAAATTTTAACATCTTAAACACTAAGATGTTATGATTTTTATTTTTATTTTTCTAATTCCTTTTTATTAAATAACTTATTAAAGTGCTTAGAAATATTAACATATAGGCTACAAATTTCATATTATAACATAAATTTAAATTGTTTTATCACTTTTCTAACTACCAAACCAAACACAATCTTAAAAATTACCCTCTTTTCTAAAGTTCTCATTATCAAAAAAAGAAAATAATAATATTTTTTCATGTATGGTTAAAATAGAAAACAACAGCGATTCAGGGTGTATCTGGGGCCAAAAATCAAGAGATAAACACTCCAGACATGCTAGGGACAAAATCATTTGCCTAGCTAAAATCCTCAGGTCTTCATATTTAAGATGAAATTCACATGAAATGAAACCCAAATATACCTTTCTTCGCGTGTGTGTATATTATATATATATAATCTTAAATTTCACAATGGGATTATGGGAAGCAATTTTTTCTTTTTCGCTTAACACACCTCACATACATGCTGCTGTACAATTTAAATTTAAATATTATTATTTTTATTAAAAAAATTATTACTAAATTATTTATTTTGTTTGCAAATATGTGTTCTTAATCTTAAAGCAAGAGATTTCATGGTCTTTTACATTTTAACATGTATTAAATTAGTTATAAATATTTCAATGATTTCACAAAAAAAAAAAAAAATCTCTCGATGATTTTCCAATAATTGTTTTTTTAACAGCTTTTCTAATAATCAATTAAGAAACCTAATCACATATATTGTTCATTTATAATGGTTTCATGTGAGAATGTAAATTTATAATTATAATATATTATTAAATAATTAAATATATATTATCACAAGCTTTTTTTTATCAAGACTAACACTATCATAAGTTGATCTCTAAAATTTTTTATGTTATACATAATTATCTCTTTCATCTCATTTGGTTAATCTTTTTTTTTTTTTTTTTTGCATATTAAGTTATATATGCATTAATCTAAAATTTTGATATGATTTTGTATACCATCTATAAATTAAGGGATTGTTTAATATAGTAATTTGAAACTAGCAGTTAAATATTTTGTTTAATTTCATAGTTAATAATAATAATTATTAATAATTCAATTTTATTTATTAAATTAAATAAAACTACTAATTACTAATTTTAAACTATTGTAAAGCTTATCCAAACACCCCAAAGTTATAAAGCTAATCCAATGCTTTTTTTATTAAAAAAAGAAGAAGAAGGGAAGGAAAGATAAAGCTTATACAAAGTTAAGTTTACTTTTGAAAATGTTGTGCTTGTTTGAACTTTTATTCCTAATAAAATCAAAAAGCACTTTTAAAAGCATGATCAAATGGATACACGTTCACACACAAAATTACATGCATCTAAAACAATATTTTTCTATAAAAAAATTTGTCCACTCCATAATAATTATAAGAGAACGGAAAACCTTGTTTTTTAGTTTGAAACTAGTTTGAACATTAAAATATTAAAGTACTCTTAATAAATGAATGCTTAGGGGAAGATTTATTAAAATTTTGAAAGTGAATGTGTACGAGGCAATTATAGATTTAACATTTAAATTTAGAATAATATAATATATATAAAGAATAGTACGTATCAGTCCCGAATCTTTAAAAAATCTAAAATCTCAATTAATATGTAGAAATTGAAATTTCAATTTAAAAATTTTAAATCCAATCAATTTTTAAATTTAAATATTAATATATATATATATATATTTTTTAATAATGTTATCATGGGATGGGCTCAAACCCATCCAAGGAGAGGAGGATGTATTTCAAGGTGACCAAGAACCACTTGGTCTGAAGGTCAGGTGCCTAAATATTAATATTTAATATAATAAATTTTTAAATTTTAAATTAAATTTTAGTTAAATAAAACAATGTAGTTTAGAATTAGCATTTCAATTTTTTTAAAAGTCAAGATTAATATGTATTTTTTTTCATATATAGAATTTATTTACACATAAATATTACACATTATACATATACAAAATCTTCACCATTATTCTTTTCACTTTTAATAGTTAAAATTTATTACAACTTTTTAAATGAAAAAAGTAATCATTTTTAATAAATGTAAATAAATCTCAACCATTAAAAATAGAAAAATAAATAGTAAAGATTTTATGTAAGTGTAATGTGTAAAATTTGTATGTAAGTGAATCCATATATATATATATGTAAAAGTAAATATTCACTTATACATAAGTCTTATACAATATATTTACACAAAATATCAATCATTTATTTTTTTATTTTTATTAGCTGAGATTTATCATAATTTTTAAAATGAAAATAGTAATTATTTTTAATAAATGTGAATAAATATTAATTATTAAAAATAAAGAGATGAATAATTAAAATTTTATATAAATATAATATATAAAATTTATATGTAAATAGATTGTTACTAAGTAAGTAAATATTAATTTCAAAACCAATAATATATAAATAATTTTAATTAAATATTTAATAAAAATTTATTTTATCATAAAAGTAAAACTACTAAAATATATAATAATTATACTCTTAACTATTAACTATTTTTGTTTTTAAAAAGGGTGGAATGTACTTAATACACCTTTCACCCCTCACCATTAAGTATTTCTATTTACATAAAGATATAGAATACACCTTTTTTATATTAATCAATAGTATTAAAAATAATAAAAGTCAACACTAATTCAATTTAATCATTAACTACGTATGAATCATCATTTCGATTATCAACGAGGGGTTGAATCAAGTGGCAAGCGGTTTGTTCCAGTTTAAATAAGTTCTCGAGTTTGAAACCTTATGTATGCAGCAGCCTTCGTTAGGAGACCCACCCACCATTCTGGTGCGCCACAGCTGGTCGAGTCCGGAGTAGTTGAGGTGAAACTCCGGATACCGGACGGGAAACCAAAAAAAAATCATCATTTCGATTAAATAAATAATTAAATAAAAATTAATTTCTATTTTTTTAATAACAATTAGTGTTAACAAATTTTTTTAATCTATATTCTTAAGTAGAAATCAAATTTACCTCATAACAAAAAAACAAAAAATTCTTTTGAACGCCGACCGAATATTCCTACACACGGTTCCAGGACTTCATCACTCGTGTCAAGCGCGCGTTGGCTTCACTAAGCGCCGGTCCTCATATTAGTCGTTGAACTTTCCCGTCAAATGGCGTTTCGAACTTCCCTTCCGCCTCCCCCCTGATTATAAATATCAGCGCCAAAATAGGTGAAATCAGCCGCTCTCAGTCGTCCGATCCAGCCATCACACCGTCGTTTCCGTCCCCTATAATTCTCCTCTCGTGATTAACGATCGCGCATTGACCTCTCTTTCCTTCACCATCCATATCCACGGCGGCATTTCCCGGCCGGTACCTTCTCCTCCGATTGTTAGCTCATTTTTCCTTTTTTTTCTTGTAATTTTTCCTTCTTTCATGCCGGAATTGCAGGAACGGCGTTCGGTTCTCTTTTAATCTTATTTTTTACTTATGAAAACAAATAATGAAATGCTGTTTCCTGTTTTGCTATATAGTCCAAATAAGAAATGAAATTTGGAGATATTCAGATATATAAATTTTTTTTTTGGAAATTTTTTTCCAATTTCTAGTTAGTTTAAGATCTGTTTATCTGTATTTTTTTTTTCTTCTGGCTATATATATATATATTTAGAATTTGGTTCTGTTGCTGAATCTTTATTTATACTAATAATTCCATTTTTCTGATTTGTTTTTCTTTGAATTTGCAGGTTAATATGGTTTTGATTAGAGATAGTTGTAAAAGCTTAGGCTGTTAGTCTAAGAATCGGATTTGCCCTCTCCGTTTCTCTTTTTTTTGCAGTAAATGGGCTGCTTTCAATCAAAGATAAAGAAGCAATTCCCTGGATATGAGGATCCTATAAGTCTTGCTTCAGAAACTGCTTGTAAGTTCATCTTTCTCTAATGTAAACAGGATTGTTTTCGAAATTTTGAGTTTGTATAGAGTAGCTTGATTCGTTTATTATATACCCCAAATTTGGAATTTCAAATGCTAAAGATTTGGCTTCGGAAATTGCCAATTTAGTGTTTGATCGTCCCATGAGTGGAATTGTAAGGTTAACCTTTGCTGGTTTCTCAAATTTTTGGTTTTTTGGGATTCCATGGCATTCACTTTTTGATGGGTACTGTGGATTCAGTAGGATAACTTAGATTGATAAGAAAACCATTGTGGTCAATCTGATCCTTTTGTTTCACCATAATACTAAATCTTTTAAACTCGAACTTGCACTCTCCTTCATGAAATTACATAGAATAAATGAGCTATTTCTATGTAACTTACGATCATCAATAGTCAGCTAAATTTTTGTTTTTGATACATATATATTTTTTGCAAAGTTTGACTCTTTGATTTTACTTGTTTCTTCAGTTAGTGTCAGTGAAGTGGAAGCATTGTTTGAGTTGTACAAGAGCATAAGCAGTTCTTTGATTAATGATGGGTTGATTAGCAAGGTCTGTATTCTTTGGTTATCTTCCCTCTTATTTTTACTCCCTCTCCTTTATTGTAAGAGAATCATATTCTAGTGCTTCATCTTTCTTATGAAAATTCTTGATTCTGATTGTCATGGCTGGGTAGTTTACAGTATATAGTTGCTGTAAATTATTACCAATGACTAACCAAAAAGCTTCCCTACTCTACATGCAGGAGGAATTTCAGTTGGCTATTTTTAAGAATCAAAAGAAGGAAAGTCTATTCACAAATCGGGTAAGTAATTTCATGTTTGGTGCTACTTTTAAAAGTTGTATTATAAGGTTTTGTTTGTTTTATATGAATCAAAGGTAAAAGGTTTTGCTCAAACTCTCTGACCTTAATCATGATTGAGACCTTTGGCCTGTGTGTGTTCAACTTTGTTATATCTTGTATGCAGATCTTTGAGTTATTTGATTCTAAAAAAAGGGGAGTCATTGATTTTGGTGACTTTGTTCGATCACTCAATGTTTTTCATCCCAATGTCCCACAAGAGGAGAAGATTAATTGTAAGTTTACAAAATACACATTGTTATATTGAATTCTGTTATCAGTTTTATTCAATTCCACTGAGCTTGTCATACTTTGGCACTGGAGTAATCTTTCATTTCAATATATAATTTAATTTTAATTATGATATGGCTTCTTTTTGCAGTTACATTTAAACTTTATGATATGGATGGTACGGGCTTTATCGAGCGACATGAGGTATGCTGGTTCTTATGGTCATATTATTGATATTCATTTAGCATGCTATTTGATTTGCTCTTTCAAAAATCCACCTTTTCTTTGTTTCCTTGAATGCTGCAGCTGCAAATCATCCATTTCTATATTTTGATTCAGCACCTTCTCAAAACTCCCTTGCTGTCAGCTTAATATCATGTGATTTTTGCAGGTCAAGCAAATGTTAATTGCCCTTCTATGTGAATCTGAATTGAAGTTGGCTGATGAAACCATTGAGGCAATACTTGATAAGGTCAGTTTTTGTGACTCAACAGAACTTCCAAGTATTCATGATAACTGTTGAAAGGTTGATGAACATGTAATGTTGACTATAATCCTGCTTGAACTTAGAAAACACTGTTTATCTTGTGGTGGCTTTGTGCAAATTGCTAAATATTGACCGACTTATGAAAATTTGTGAAACAGACATTCTTGGATGCAGACATCAATCAGGATGGAAAGATAGATAGCTCCGAGTGGCAAAATTTTGTGTCCCGTAATCCATCCTTATTGAAGATTATGAACCTCCCTTATCTCAGGTTAGACTTTCAAGTATTTCTTATGTTAACCAATTACATACTCGAAAGACTTTCATATGGGATGTTCATTAATTTGTGTTGAAATTTGGCAGGGACATAACAACGACGTTTCCAAGCTTTGTTTTCAATTCTGAAGTCGACGAGGTGGCTACATAATTATACAGTAATGTAGGGCTAAACATGTTTCTGTGATTGTTGTGAATTTTCGAGACGTATTAGCAGACATCATTGTACCAATTATGCAGCTTACCCCTTTTTCAATGACAAGAGCTAGTCAAATTAAGATTGCTGGTGGATTGTATGTAGTCATATTTGGGGACCTTTCCTTTTCGTTATTAATCGACAGTCCAACACGGAGGGCATTTTTGTTACTTAGCTCCAACTTCCAAATCGGGAGGGCAAAATCAATGAAAAAATCAAAAAAAAAAATAGGGGGGAGAAAAGGAGTTGCATGGTGCCTGTTTATTTTGGACTCAAATTTCTTGAGCTTTACTTCATATATATATATATATATATAAGAAAAGTAATTACCAATTTATATTATAAAAAATTATGTAAAAAAATTTTAAAATTTTTTCATTTTAACAAAATATGATTAAAAAATTAAAATATCTTAATTAATTTTGAAGTAGAAATAAGGATGTTTTAAATTTTTTTATAGTGTTTTATTAAAACGGCATGATTTTAAAATATTTCTTCATTTAATTTTTTACAAGTTTGACAAATAAATATTAATATATATTTTTAAATTTTATTTGCATAGCTTTAGTTAGCAGAGTCTATTATTTATAATTTAAATTATAATAAACTCTCACTCAATGAATAATATTATGTAATTTGATGTGGTATAGATTATACAATTCATTTTTCTTAGTTGGTTTTACGGGTTTATGTTAGGGAATAACTAGGGAAAAAGTGGAGAAAATACTGCAAGTCCCCCAAGATAATTGCTTTGCTTTATTCTGGAAATTTGATTTTTTTTTTTTCTAAAGAAAAGAAGGCAGAAAAAAAAAATCAAGAAAATTAAGGGACTAATATTGTAAAATTTTAAAAATACATATTCTCTGACTGGGCTGTATACCCGTCGATTGGTCCCAATCCAAATTTGTCGGATCGATTCATTCACTGGGCTGTTGGATTTCTGGGCCGAGTTACAACAAAAGGGACAGAGCTCATAATCTCCCACCGAAGTCCAAAACACCGGTCCGGCCCGAATGGTAGAGGGATGAAGAACAACAAGTATGCACGCGGTCATATAAAGTAATTGATATTAAAATTTAAAAGTATTGTTAGATATTAAAATTATTAAATTATTTTAAATAAATTAAGATAAA